TTGCCATAGCATTTGTCCCAACTAAAACTTTCCATGTGAGTCAAGAAACCCAGCCAGGCAGCTGGCTTTCTCAGATGGGAGGTCTTTTGAATAGTTTGCACCTAAACCAAGACTGCCTCGGTCACCAGTAGTTTCCCTATGACCAGGTTCTTCTCAAGTTTGCCCTATAAAAAGGGAGACCAGCAAGGGGATGGAATTCCTCTTCTGTAATGCAAACACACAAACGGATTATGCCCTGGCCCCTGTGTGCTTCTCCTTGGAATGATGGGAGAATGGGGCAACCTTTGATATTTCTGGGCTTTGTAAGTTTTCCCTTCTCCCCCAAGAAAACCTATCCCTTAACCTAGTGGCTCTCAAATCTAGTGTGTCTCATAAGTACTAGGTGGGCTTGTTAAAACAGATTTCTGGGCACCACTTCCAGAATTTCTGGTTTAGTAGGTCTGGGGTGTGGTCTCGGAATCTGCATTCCCAGCAAGCCCCCAGCTGATGCTGATATTGTGGTCATGGGGACACACTGAGAACCTGTCTCAATTCATGCAGTAAGTCTGTTAGAAATGAGCTCTGCTGGTTATCACAAGGAGTCCCACTTGCATGACCTCCACCTAGGAGCTAACCATTATCCTTTCTCATGCCTTACTTTCCTTTATAGTTTTACCACATAAATACGAATCCTTAACCAATAGATTTGGTTTTTATTTTAAAGTTTTATGAAAATGGGACTACTGGTCAAGATGGTGGTGGAGGTAGACATAGCTCCCCTCTTCACACAACCACATCAAAATTACAACTAAAACATAGAACAACCATCACTCAGAACCATCAGATATCGAGTTGAATGAAAGTATGACAACTTGTGTGTAGATTTAAAGAAATCACATCCATCCAGCCTGATAGGAGAAGCACAGATGCAGAACAGGCTTGTCCCTCACTCATGTGTGGTGGATAAAAATTTGGGAGGGATATCTTAGGAGGGAGAAGTCCCACACCACACTGGGCCACCCAGCCCAGGGTTCCAGTGCCAAGAAGATAAGTTCCCACAATTTCTGGCTGCAAAAACCAGCAGGGATTGAATCAATGGAAGAAACAAGCCCCAAGCAGTCCCTCTTAATGAACCCACACAAAGACTCACCTACTCAGATTTACTCCCTCTGAGTTCCAGCACCAAGGTAGCAGCTTGAAAGGCCCCAATGGCATAAAGGAAGGAACTGAAGTGTCTGGCATCAAGGGGGGCAAAAGGCACTGTCCCTTTTCTAAACCCTGCCCCTACAGAGCTGGCAAGTTGGTGCCATATCTGAGACTCCATCAACCTGGCTAACACTGTTTGACTCTCCTTGGAGATCCCAGAGATACCAGCCCACCGAACATAAAGACCCAACCAAGCTGTTTTTCCATATGAATAGCTGGTCTTGACTCACACTGCACAATTTCCTAAGTCCTTTCAAACGAGCAACAGTGGGCCTCAGTGGGCCCCAGGCCTGGCACTAGCAGCATCCAGTCTAGATTCACAGCTTGACTTTGCCTGGGTATCTCCAAGCCCAGCACAAGTAGCAGACATCTCAGATTGCTTTACAGCTGAGAGAAGGTGGCCTTGGGCAAAACACAGGTTGGGGCTGACCTAGGGCTGCACCACCTGGGAAACCCCATGGCCAGCACACCCAGTGGAGAGCTATAGGCCATGTCAGAGCACCACCACCCTGTCCTGCGCAGCTGATCCTCCACGAAGGGCGGAGATTGGTGGTCAGTGGTCACAGCCAATCTTTGCAGCTGACTGGCCTGAGTAAATCCCTCCCATTGATCTGCCAACAGCAACCAAGCCTCAACTATAAGAGAAGGGCATACTCAGCCCACACGAAGAGCACATCTCCAGTGCCCAGTTTTGGTGACAGGGGAGACTGTGTCACTGGACTCTACAGGACACCTACTATATTAGGCCATGCTACCAAGACATAGAGTCAAAGTAGCTCTACCTAATACATAGAAATAAACACAGGGAGGCTGCCAAAAGGAGGGGAAAAAAGGAACATGGCCCAAATAGAACAACAGATCAAAACTCCAGAAAAAGAGCTAAACGAAATGGAGATAAGCAATCTATCAGATGCAGAGTTCAAAATACTGACTATAAGGATGCTCAAAGAATTTAGCAAGGACCTCACAGAATAAAAAGGATCTAGTCAGAAATGAAGGATACATTAATGGAAATAAAAAACAATTTCCAGAGAAACCACAGTAGCGTAGATGAAGCCAAGAATCAAATCAATGATTTGGAGCATAAGTAAGCAAAAAACAAACAAAAAAACAAAACAAACAACAACAAAACTGAACAACAGGAAGAAAAAAAGAAAAAAAAATGAAGATAGTATAAGCAACCCCTGGGACAACTTCAAGAGGTCCAACATTCGCATCACAGGGGTGCCAGAAGGAGAAGAAAAGAGCAAGAAATGGGAAATCCATTTGGAAAAATAATGAAAGAAAACTTCCCTAATTTGATGAAGGAAATAGACATGGAAGCCCAGGAAGCACAGAGAGTCCCAAACAAGATGGATGTGAAGAAGCCCACTCCAAGACACATCATAATTAAACTGCTGAAGGTTAAAAATAAAGAGAGAACCTTAGAAGCAGCAAGAGAAAGGCAGAGAATTATGTACAAAGGAGTTCCCATAAGACTATCAGCTGAGTTCGCAAAAGAAACTTTGCAGACAAGAGGGGACTAAAAAGAATTATTCAAAGTGATGAAAAGCAAGGACCTACAAACAAAATTACTCTATCCAGCAAAGCCATCATTTAGAATTGAAGGACAGATGAAGTGCTTCCCAGACAAGGTAAAGCTAAAGGAGTTCATCACCACCAAGCCCTTATTATATGAAATGTTAAAGGGACTTATCTAGGAAAAAGGAGAAGATCAAAACTATGAACATTAAAATGACAACAAACTCACAGCTATCAGCAACTGAACGTAAAAAACAAAACCAAAAACTAAGCAAACAAGTAGAACAAGAATAGAATCATAGATATGGAGATCATTTGGGGGGTTATCAGCTGGGAGGGGGAAGAGGAGAACGGCAAGGGGGGAAGGAATAGGGATTTAGAAGCATAATTGGGTAGGTACAGAACAGACAGGGGATGTTAAGAACTGTATAGGCAATGGAGGAGCCAAAGAACTTACAGGCACAACCCATGGACATGAACTTGGGGGGTGTTGGAGGAGGGAAGGGAGAACCAGGCAGTGGGGGCACGGAGTAAAAATCAGGACAACTGTAATAGCATAGTCAATAAAATATAATTTTAAAAAAAGGCTTTAAGATTGAATTAGTTTCAAGGCTTGTGAAACACTTTTTAGATTTGTACATAAGTGATGAAACAATGTATAAAATTAATGATGTTTAAATTGGGATCAGTTGATGTAATGATTCAGTATAAAACTGATCAAGTTTGTTTTTTTTTTTTTTTAAGATTAACTCATTCATAGTGTAAAAAGCTTAGTAAGACTATGGTAGTCAAAAAAACAATTTCATCTTAGAGGTGTGTATGTGCTTAACAAAGTGATTGTTACTATATTTTCCTGAAACTCCCAAATGGCACATAGTATTCTTTTTACTATCTTCCATAAATACATTACATTACTTGTGTTTTTATATAGTGGGAGAATCTAGACTTGTAATTTTTATGTAATAGGAATACATAAATCCTGTCTTTCGAAGACATGGGAGAGTTTGAAATAAAATGGTAAAAGGAGCACTAGAACCAAAGGATGGAAGGAAGGGGATGCTAAAACAAACAAACAACCATGAAAAAAGAATCCATGGATTGATTCATAGGTTTTTGAACTTAGGGAGACAAGGGAAAATAAGTCTAAGGTGGCCCCAATGTTGAAAGTACAGAACCTTGAGATGACAAACTATTGACAAATAAGTAAGTGAGCAGGCGGCCTGTTTGGAGAAAAAGGTGGTTTTTTATTTTCCCTCCCAAGTCTTTTGCTTCAAAACTCTTCTCAAGGAATTTTTCAGAACCTTTGAAATTTGTGTTAATGACCCTCAAAAGTGAAAAGTTTAAAATCCAAAGGCCTAGATGGCTAATTTTATTAATTTTTTAGTTAATTTTCCTTAATTAGGTACCAAGTGCCTAATTTTCATGTAAATTCACTGTTTTTAACATCAAATTCCAGTAATTTATAAATCGGATTTAGAGAAAGTAGCCCAAGGAATGAACATTGGAATAAGAGGGATCAGGATCTTCATCGAGGTTCTGCTATTAATCTATGTGGCAATGGCATTTAAGATTCCTTAAATGTGTCAGATGACTACATGATCCTTAAGTTTCCTGCCTGCGCTAAAGTTCTAAGTTTCCCTCAGGCAATAGTAAAAGGTATCTGTGTGAATTCAACTTATCCTACAGGTGAGTTGTGGCAAGCATTTGTCAGGTAAGTCGTAGGATCTTTTCTCCACGCTTCTCAAACCACAGAGCGAACTCTACTTACATGCTTTTGGTGCAGGCAAGTTATAGGATCTGAAAAACTTCAATAGTACAAGTAAGATCCCGGGACAGGATACGTCCAAAACAGGATCACCAAAGGGCACTAACTGTCACAGCCTCCATCAGAACAAACTAAAGGCCAGAGCTGAAATGGAGCGTGGACGTCGCACGTGCTTCCTGTGGGTCATGCTTTCCCACCTAGTAAGCCCACATTCTTGCATCATCAGGCGGGAAGATCTTTACTTGCCCTAACAAATGTTGTTCTACTTCTTCGGAGACTTGCTTAGACTTTGGGGAAGTAGTAAGGCCCTAAGAAGTGGTCTAGGGTCTCCACCAGGATGTCCCAGCAGGCCAGAGGCAAGTCCGCAGGGGATCGCAGGGACGCGCTCGGACCACGCTGGGAGCTCCGGGCGCCGCGGCCCCGCGTGACCCGGAAGGGCTGGCGCGTGGTAACCCCGGCTTCCCTAGCAACGGAGCAGGTGAGAGTGCTGACCCACCGCATCGGCTAGCGGCTCCGTCTACCTCCCGGGATGCCCCTGCAGGTTAGCGATTACAGCTGGCAGCAGACGATGACTGCGGTCTTTATCTCTGTGCCCCTCCGAGGAGTCTGCGTCAGAGATGCGGACGTGTTCTGTACGGAAAACTATCTGAAGGTAGGAATGCGAGTCGTGCCTGCCGGCTCTCCGGGGGTGTGGTCCGGAGCTTCCGTGAGTGCGCCCAGGTGTGCGCGAGCAGGCGCGTCCTCCTACAGAAATGCCCTAAAATTTTAGTGCTCTTGAAAACAACAACGAACGAATCCCATACAGGTGATACCTCATCTGTAAGCAGATGTTATCAAATCAGAGATTATTTTTTATCTAGGACTTCCTACATATGCCTTGCTAATCTTTCGCTACCTGGAATAAATTTATAGAGGGCATTCAAGAAAATGATTTTGGCCTCTATCACGTATTACTTAACAGCTGTGTTTTTAATTAGGTAACTAAATTAACTTATGTTTCCCCCCTTCTAAATAGGTCAACTTTGCTCCATTTTTATTTGAGGTGTTTCTCTATGCTCCCATAGACGATGAGAGCAGCAAAGCCAAGATTGGAAATGACACTATTGTTTTCACCTTACATAAAAAAGAAGCGGTCATGTGGGAGACCCTTTCTGTGTCAGGTGGTGAGTTTTGGTTTTTTTTTTAAAGATTCTATTTATTTATTTTTAAAGAGAAGAGAAGGAAGAAAGAGAGGGAGAGAAACATCCATGTAGAGAAAACTTCAATCGGTTGCCTCTCACATGCCTCCAACCAGGGAGCAGCCCAGACATGTGCCCTGACAGGGATTTGAATCAGTGACCTTTCATTTCGTAGGCTGGTGTTCAATCCACTGAGTCACACCAGCCAGGGAAGATGGTAAGTTCTTGAAAGATGTTCATGTGGCTTTTAATATTTTATACCTTTCTTTTTTCATTTTTTAATTGTTGTTCAACAGAGTTGTCTCCATTTTCTAATTTTTATACCTTTTTAAAAAAATTCTCTTTTGAAATAATTATGCTGCTCTTCTACCAAAAAAAGGGCACATGAGCATGATTTAAATAAGATAGTGCTTCAGCTGCCACTTAAATAACTTAAAGACTGAATTATTCTCATTAATTACAACTCTTAAACAGATGTGTATCTTCAGTGGCTAAGGCCTTCCAATATGGCCTTTATCAAACACTTATATTGTATCAGGCATTAATACATCTGTTAAGCCTCCCAACAGCCTATCACTTAGGTATCCCCCACTCCTGTTTTTTTAAAGGCGAGGCTACTGAGGCACAGAGGGTTTAATAACAGACAAATGTCACTCAACTAGTAAGTGGCAGATTGAAAACTGGAGCCTTAGCAGTGTGACTGTAGAATGGTGGTTCTCAACCCTGGCTGCATATTTGAATCACCTATAGAACTTTTAAATGATACAGATGACTGGAACTTACCCTACATCAATCAAACCAGTTTCTAGGAGTGGAACCCTGGTGTTGGTAGTTTTTAAAAAGCTTTTCAGGGACTATACTGTGTAAAATTAAGATTCCCTATTCTCTGTACTTTTAATTAGTACTCTAACAGCCTACATCCGCTTTGTGGGTCAGTAGTTGCCCTCTACTGCTTTAACTCTATTTTCTTCCTTCCTCTTCTGGTTTTCATGTTTCATGGCGCTTTACATCTGCTGCCTGAAATTTTTCTTAGTTGTCTGGCAGTAGGAAATATTAAGAATGGAGAGGTTGCAATCATTTTTGTATTAATATTTTCTTGGTGTCTTGTAGTGGAACTTTTAAAAAAGATTTTATTTATTTATTATTAGAGAAAGGAAGAAAGAGGGGGAGAAAAACATAGATGTGTGGAGAAACACTGATGGGTTGCCTGTTGCACACACCCGATCTGGGGACAGGGCCCACAACCTAGGCCTGTGCACTGACCAGGAATCAAACGGGCAACTTTCGCTTTGTGGGAAGATGCGCAACCAACTGAGCCATGCCAGTCAGGACTTGCAGTGGAATTTAATTTTTTAATCTTCAGGACTCAAAATATACTGATTAAGGTAGGTTACCAGATCTAGGTTACTTTAGTGAGTCCCAGAGTAATTGAAGAGTTTTTTTAAAAAACCAGATTACTGTTCTCCTACCCCAAACTTTCTTTGAGATTCAGTAAGTCTGTGATGAGACCTGGGAATGTGTCATGAAGCACACCCAGGGTGTTTCAGCTTCTTGCCTAAGATTAAATGTAAACACTTTCATTTATTTCAACTCCTGTTGATAATCTTAATTTTTCCAGAACTGTCATCTGTTATAATGGCTTGTCTTAAAATAAACAGATGCGGAGTCGGGGGGTGGTAGGGGTTGAGACTCCACAGGTGATTCTGATGACTGGCCAGATCTGAGAACCACTGACTTAAGAGTGTGTGTGTGTGTGTGTTTCTTCTGGTGGCAAACAGATTTCTCTAGGAAATGTTTTTTCCACCAACTTTTTAGGCTAAAAAGAAGGGTCATATCAGAAAACCTGTTACTTTCCCTGATATCTGACATGAAGCATTTTCTATATCAAATTCCCTTTTAACCTGGATGGCCACCTCATCCAGGAGTAGGAAGAGATTTTCTTTCTTAATCAATTTTCCTCTCTGTTTTACACATCTGCTTTCATTACGCGACTAATTGATTCCTCTCTTTCATGGTTATATGGTCAACTATTCCAAATTTTAACTATTTAACCCACAGTTTAGCAAACTTTTTCTGTAAAGGATCAGATAATATTTTGGATTTTTGCGCTGTATGGTCTCTCTCACAATCACTTAGTTCTGCCATTGTAACACAAAACTAGCCATAGACAATATATATGTATATTTTTCAGTTTACATTCAATTTTATTTTGTATTGGTTTCAGGTATATGACAATACATACTTATTGACACCAAAATATGAATTTAATATAATTTTATATGTCACACAAAATATTATTATTAAATAATAGTTAACTTTTTCCAATTATTTAAAAATGTAAAAGTTATTCTTTGCTTGTATGCTGTTGAAAAACAGGCAACAGGTTGGATTTGGCCATAGTTTGCCAATCTCTGATTTAAATTAGTCAGAATAGTCTTTATAAACTTACATAACAAGTAATGAACATTGATTTTACTTCAGAAATCAGGTTGCAATTTAGCAAAAGTATATTTTTAACAATATTTTTTTTCACATTAGGTATTGTGGAATTCCAGTCTATACTCCAAGCCTGTCTTCCTCATTATTTGAAACATATTTTGCTTCATTGTTTCCTTCTTGATACCCTTTTATTTTCTTTTAAATGCGGAACATCTTACTTGAAAAGTTGATGTTCTTTTAATTATTTCTGCCCCTGTATTGGTCCAGTTGTCTGCCACCTTGATACTAAACAGGAGGAGGTTTGGGGAGAGGCTTCAGACATAATTCCAATCCTAACTCCCAGCCATGACCTCGGATGAATAAAAATTTCGTACTTTTTACTCTTCTTTTACTGAAGTTAAACATTCCCTTCAATTTTGAATGTAGACAACGAACAACAGTAGTATCAGCAAAAATCACAAATATGTTTATATCACAGGTACCTGTCTTTTATACTCACTTACTTTGGAGTTATAATATTAGACTTGTTGCTATATATTATTTAATGTATTAATGAAGCAGCATGAATTAGCCCTGGGCAGGTGGCTCAGTTGCTCGGAGCATCGTCCAGTACACCAAAAGGTTGTGGCTTGGATCCACGGTCAGGGCACATAACTAACCCAGCCAGCGTGTGTACAGGAGGCAGCTGATAGGTGTTTCTCTCTCATGTTTATATTTCCCTCTCTCCCTTCCTCTCACTCTAAAAAAAAAATCAGTAAAAAACATATACTTGGGTAAGGATTTGGGAAAAAAAAGCATTTATTAGTATATCAAATTTATTTTTTAATATTTGTGTTTTAATATGATTTGTTTTCTTTATAAACCTGTTTATTTTATTTCATGCATTTGAAAACATTATGAAGGGATCTATAAGGTTTTATTCTGCCAAGGGGTCTGATGCACCAAAAAGGTTAAGAACTCTTGACTAGTACATGGTTCATCCCTGCCCCCTACCCCCTACCTTACTTACCCTCCTGCTTGTCACCCTCTTCCCCCCAACTTTTCTCTCCTGTCCTGTTTTTATCCCCTCCAAGTCTAGATCCCTTCCTGATCCCTCTTCCCCTAAGATAATTTACACCCTCCCTAATGAATCATAACCTGTGTGTAAAACATTGAGTCACTGAATATAAACTGGATCACAGCCTATGTATAAAACATTGAGTTATTGAATATAAAAATAATTGTTAATGGTGAAATTCTATGTACAACAAATCATGTTACTTTGTAATTTTTCCTAGGCTTGCCCTATACTCTTCATATATATAAATTACCTTTTATGTTTGTGAAGGTGATTGATCATATCAGATTATCTCAACCCATTTTCTCTTCTAAACCCCTGAGTGATGATTTGTTGTGATCAGGTTTATCAGCAACTAGCCCTGCTTTCTCAACAGAGAGGAGACCATGTGTTTTGTTTTTCCCCTCATCTTGTCTCCTCTCTCTGTTTCCTTCTCCCCCTCTCCCTCCCTCTTATGCTTCTCTGTTCTCCTTCTCTGCTGCGCCCCCCCATTTCCCCTGTAGTTCCTTTTCTTTCTCCTTTTCTCTCTCTCATTCTGTAGTAATTAATTACTGTATAGTTACTTGCTTGCCTTTTAATGTTAGCTTTTTGACCAGTTTAATACTGAGAGATGTTTTCACTTCTCCATGTGAAGTTGGGTCCAAAACAATCTCATCCCTGTCCATAATATTAAGCAATTTTCTCCTAAGTAAAACAAATTTATCACAATCCTAACTTAGTGATATTCCTTATGTTTTAGTTGACAAAAAGATGATGCAAAGAATAAGGGAGAAATCTATTTTACAAGCCCAAGAAAAAGCAAAGGAAGCTACAGAAGCAAAAGCTGCAGCAAGACGGGAAGATCAAAAATATGCACTAAATGTCATGATGAAGGTAAGTTTTAGATTGATAGGAAAGTCCTGGAATTAAAGAAATGATAATAAACTATGTAAGGATAATTAGTTCCAGCCTAAACTTTTTGTTCATACTTTGGTTATAGGACTTAGTAAATTAAATAAGCTATCTACTAATTACATGTGTTCTTGAAAATCTTTTTTTTTTAATTCAAAGATTCAATTTATTTACTTTTAGAGAGAAGGTAAAGGAGGGAGAAAGAGAGGGGGAGAAACATTGGTGTGAGAAAGACACATCAATCATTTGCCTCTTGTACGCACCCCGAGTGGGGACCCAAACCTGCAGCACAAACCAGGCATGTGCCTTGACTGGGAATGGAACTGGCAACCTTTCATTTTGTGAAATGACACCCAGCTAACTAAGCCACACTGGTCAGGGCCTGAAAATCTTTATCAAAGTTGAGGGTATAAATGTTGAATAATAATAGATTTACTTGTGTCAGTGAGACTTTTCTATTTCCAAGAGAGTCAGAAATGATGAGGTTTTATGGTATATTTTACCTCTTTCTTAATCTTGGAATAATGGACACAATTATTTAAAACAAGAAAAACACTAAATATCCATAAATAAATATATTTTGAATTGTTGAGGATTTCAAGTTAAAGCTTGAAGCAGCAATATTTTTTGAGATATAATTCACATATCATACAATTCACACATTTAAAGTTTACAATCCATTCAGAGTTGTGCAGCCATCACCACAGTCAATTTTAGAACATTTTTATCACCCCCTCAGAAACCCCCTGCCCATTAGCAGTTATTCTCCATCCCTCCCATCCCCCAGCCTTAGGCAGTCACTACTCTACTTTCTGCCTCTAAAGATTTACCTATGCTCACTAGTTTTCGCAAGTGATTTCTTATTGCACATTCTCATTTTGACATCTTGAAATGATTAAGAAATACATAACAGGCATTATCTCATCAAGAGCTCTGTGAACCCATGACTCTTCTTTTGCATTTGAAGTATTGTTTTTAAAATCAAAAGTTCATAATTCCAAAGATTTCACAACTTCTTTTATCTCTTCTACTTGACTTTTAAATATAGCCTATCCTTATATACTTTGTTTTTTACTTAATTAACCACATGGTCAGCTGACCAAAGATTCCTGCTTGCAGTATACTTGGTGAGTTCCAGTTTTTCTTGATTGTATTATCACTTCTCTTAGCCTTTTGATTTTATCATTTTCTTGAATTTTATTTTTTTAAAAAACTTTATTTACTTTTTTAGAGAGAGGGGATGTGAGGGAGAAAGAGAGAGAGAAACCTTCCTGTGAGAGAGATACACTGATCAGTTGCCTCTCGCACACCCCCAACAGAGGACCTGGCCCACAACCCAGGCATGTGCCCTGACTGGGAATTGAACCGGCAGCCTTTGAGTTTGCAGCCCCAAACTGAGCCATACCCGCCAGAGCAACTTTCCTAAATTGAAAAAAAATAAAAGCAGCCCTGGCTGGTGTCACCCAGTGGATTGAGTGCCAGCCTGCAAACCAAAGGGTTGCTAATTCAATTCACAGCCAGGGCACATGCCTGGGTTGCAGGCCAGGTCCCCAGTTGGAGTGGGGGTGGGGGGTGCCGGGGTGGCGTGTGAGAGACAACCACACATGGACGTTTCTCTCCCTCTCTTTCTCTCTCCCTTCCTCTCTAAAAATAAATGAATAAAATCTTTAAAAAAAGCAAAATATAAAATCTGTGACAACAGATAAATATTTACTGAACTAACTAATAAAACAGAGTACTGCTGGCTACATAAAACGAGTTTCGGGGTGTTCCCTCCTCTTCCATTTTTTTGGAAGAGTTTAAAAACCATTCTTCTTCTTTAAATGTTTGGTAGAATTTACCAGTAAAGTCTGGTCCTGGTCCTTTTTTTCTTAGAAGGTTTTTGATAACTGATTTAAGCTCCATACTTGCTTTTGTTTTTGTTTTATTTAATCTTTATTGTATTTTTTCCCGTTACCATTTTGTCCCCATATATCCCCCTCGCAATCAGCACGCTGTTGTCCATGACCACGAATCCTTTTTCCTTTTTGCTCAATCCCTCCACCCTGTAACCTATCTCTCCAGCTGTCATCCAACTCTCCACCTATGAGTCTGTCCTCATTTTCCTCATTAGTTCAGTTTATTCCTTAGATTTCACATATGAGTAAAATCATATCTTATTTTTCTTTCTCTGGCTTAATTCACTTAGTATAATGTTCTCCAGGTCAATCTATAATGTTGCAATGAGTAAAATTTTATTCTTTTTTATGGCTAAGTAGTATTCCATTGTGTAAATGTCCCATAATTATTTTATCCGCTCATTTACTGATGGACACTTGAGCTGCTTCCATAACTTGGCAATTGTAAATAACACTGCAGTGAACACAGGGTGCTTGTGTTCTTTCAAATTAGTGTTTTGAGTTCCTTCAGATATACTGCTGGAAGTGGGATAGCTGGGTTGAAAGACAGATTTATTTTTAATTTTTTGAGGTATCTCTATACTGCTTTCCACAGTGGCTGCACCAGTCTGCATTTCCACCAACAATGCAAAGGCTTTCGCTTTCTCCACACCCTAGCTAGCACTTGCTGTTTGTTGATTTATTGATGATAGCCATTCTGACAGGAATGACGTGCTATCTTTTTGTAGTTTGATTTTGCATTTCTCTGGTGATTGGCGACATTGAGCATCTTTTCATATGTCTATTGGCCATCTGTATGTCCTCCTTGGAGAAGTGTCTATTCAGGTCCTTTGCCCATTTTTTAATTGGATTGTTTGTTATTTTGGTGTTGAGTTTTTAAGTTCTTTGTAAGTTTTGGATATTAACCCCTTATCAGGTGTATCCTTGGTGAACATGTTCTCCCATTCAGTGGGTTATCTTTTTATTTTGTTAATGATTTCTTTTGCTGTGCAAAAACATTTTAGTTTGATGTAGACCCATTTGTTTATTTTTTCTTTTTCCCTTGACTGCAGAGATATATCCAATGAAGTATTGCTATAAGCAATGCCTGAGATTTTGATGCCTATGTTTTCTTCTATGATTTTCATGATTTTGGCTCTAACATTTAAGTCTTTGATCCATTTTGAATTTGTTCTTGTGTGTGGTATAAGAAGGAGGTCTAGTTTCATTTTTCTTCATGTCCCAACACCACTTTTTGAATAGACTGTATTTAGCCCATTATATGTGCTTGCTTCCTCTGTCAAATATTAATTGACTATAAAGGTGTGGGTTTATTTCTGAGCTCTCTATTCTGTTCATGGTTCTATGTGTCTGTTTCTATGCCAATACCATGCTGTTTTGAACCACATGATCGTATCAATACGTGCAGAAAAAACATTTGATAAAATCCAGCACCAATTTATGGTAAAAACTCTCAGCAAAGTGGGAATAGAAAGAACATTCCTAAACATCATAAAGGCCACTGCCAGCATCATACTCAAAAGGCAAAAACTGCAAGTGTTCCTCTTAAGATCAGGAACAAGACAGGGATGTCTGTTTTTACCTCTCTTATTCAACATAATACTGGAAGTCCTAGCCACAGCAGTCAACAAGAAGAAGAAATAAAAGGCATCCAAATTGGAAAGGAAGCAGTAAAACTGTCTTTATTTGTAGATGACATACTGTACATAGAAAACTTAATTTTTCTTTCCACTGAGGCATTTTATTTGCTTGTATGCATTACATTCCTAGAAAAAGAATCCCAGGATTTTCCCACCTGTGTGTTTTTTGTCTTGCTTCTTCATTGTCCATGATGCTGGTTGAGATTGTCAGTACAGTAAAACCAAAATGACAGGATAGGAGCAGGCTGTTCTGCCATTTCTCTAGACTTTTGAATTGCACATCAACTCAAGGGCTGATGACTCCACTTGTTTAACCTGCCAGTGAGGTTCATGACAAGTGTCCAAGCACTGTGGTCATAAGTAATTTCAAATTTGCCAATGTAACCATGCTTCATCATCAACAGTTAGAAACCAGACGATGGCTTTGGACCATGGCCTAATAAGAATCTGGTGTTTGAAGATGGAGGCATAGGTAGATACACTTGGTTCCTTGCACAACCAAAAGAAGGGCAACAACAGAATTAAAAACAAAAAACAAACAGAACTGCCAGAAAATAGAACTGTACAGAAACCTGACAACCAAGGAGTTAAAGAAGAAATATTCATCCAGACTGCTAGGAGGAGCAGAGATAGGCAGCCGGGGCCAAGAGGGCACGTGGCAAGGCAGTGGCAGGAGGGCCAGGTGGTCCCACAGTTGCATGTGGATAAACTGGGCGGAACAACTGGGGAGCGAGACCAGGCGAGAATGAACAACAGGGTTCTAGCATGGGAAAAGAAAGCCCCAAAACCTCTGCCTGTAAAAACCTATGGGGGTTGCAGCAGCGGGAGAAATTCCCAGCCTCACAGGAGAGTTCCTTGGAGAGACCCATAGGGTCCAGAACATACACCAACCCACCCACTCAGGAATCAGCACTAGAAGGGCCCAATTTGCTTGTGGTTGTGGGGAACATGACTGAAATCCAGCTGGGAGCCGAGGAAGTGGCATTGTTCCCTCTCTGACCCCTCTTCCACATACAGCACCACAACATAGGTGGGTTACCCTGCCCTGGTGAATACCTAAGGCCCTGCACCTTACAATGTAACAGGAGTGCTGAGACCAAGAAATATGGCCCAAACGAAAGAACAGATCAAAACTCCAAAAAAAGAACTAAGTGACAAAGAGATAGCCAACCTATCGGATGCAAAGTTCAAAACACTTGTAATCAGGATGCTCACATAAATAGTGGAGTATGGTTGCAAAATTAAGGAAAAAGTGAAGGCTATGTCAAGTGAAATAAAGAAAAATATCCAGGGAACCAACAAACAGTGAAGGGAAGGAAACCAGGACTCAAATCAATGATTTGGAGCAGAAGGAAGAAATAAACATTAAACCAGAACAGAATGAAGAAACAAGAATTCAGAAAAATCTGAGAGGCTTAGAATCTCCAGGACAACTTTAAATGTT